CGCTTTAATCATCATAAGTGTTATCCCGTTCAGTATAAAGTTTAAATACTGTAAACACATTCAAATAGCTATAGGTCATTTTAGCGAATTTGACTCAACGCATGAATTGAAATCTTAATTTAGCGAAAGTGCAAACAATTTTATTGTGAGAACAAATAATTTGTTTAATCACTTAACATCCATTGAATTGACAATAAACGAGAATAAAAAGTAAAATAACTAAGAACTACAAAAAGAGGAAAAAAATAGTACTTTAAGAAAAACATTTTTATTAAAATGATGAATTAATATACTTTCTTTTAAATTAGTGACATCGTGAATTATCGAAATTATGAATTAGCTGAATTAGCTAAAATAACATGCTAGCTAGAAAGATATATTTTACAGTATGTGATAATTTGCTATTTGTCGTAAAAATCAAGTTTTGCCGAATCGTCACGGTGATTAACCAATCGTGTACCCTTCAAACTTTTAACTCAGCGACGGTCTGGAGTGGAAATGATTACGACGTGCAACACACTTTGTTTTTTGTTTCACTCTCAGATAGTTCAAAATGGTGATTTATCACCAAAAACATCGTCAGACGTTTTCTCAATATCGGTAATTACTCGTTACTCATAAGGTGAATGAGTGTGCGGGGTCATTGACCTCTTAGTGTTAGTTGTCAAATGACAACTTTTGTTGTTAAAAACATGGAGAAAAGGCCAATAGGTGTCTTCAAATATGTCAGTGTATTCCCTATCGCATTTTCCTGAAAGTGTTTCCTCGCCAGGTGTCATCTGCTAGTAGCAGGTCAGTGGCCATTACTGTCTGCAATGTGATCTCCTCAAACAATTCCTAACCTCAGACAGCCTATTATTAATAGTTGTGTGTGACATAAGCGGTAACCCACCCTCTCTGCTGTGCCCCTTTTTCTGAAAACTCATCAATATCACGCCACTAGTGTTCACTGACAATTGTGCAAGAGAGTATTACCATAATTCAACTAGTACTGTACTTTGTATTTATAATTTTGGACCGTATAGACATAATTTTTATTTTTACTGTTCATGGTCAAAATTTGAATTAAAAAAAAGGTTTTATTTTGTGAAAAAATGATAAAAGTTGTTTTTGGCGTCCTAGGGATTATTTTAATTTTGTGTAACAATCTCGTTGTTAATTTGACCGCTATCGGATGTTTTTCTAAGTTGATTAGCAACTCTGGGTGGGGGATGGTAGAAATATGTTTATTGTTTATTTTTTTTCATTTAGTCTTAAATTAGATTTTTGATTTCAGGGTGTGGCTATAGAATATTTATTTGCTTTCCTTGTAGAATATTGTTTTTTTTTTTTGTTTTTTTTTTTCCAAAAAATCTTCTCCCAGAGTTTCTAATGTTCAATCCCTTAGAACAAGAAATTACATTTTTTTCAATGTTCACACAAAACAAAGACAATCTGCGAGACAGTTGGCAAAAAATATGTATTGTGAGAAACCATCCTTTTCAACTTTTCTAAATTGAGAGTATTTGAATTGTCAACCTACTTTTTGTGTTTGTATATATATTATTGTTGCAGTAGTATGTCATTGCACTTCTAGAGGGCGTACTTTGATGAGTAGGACCAGTTACTGTAAAACATGTTGAATAAGCGGCATGCAATTTTAGCGAGTTGTAGTAAAATGACGTAATAGCGAAATGTTGATTTAGCGAATCTCTCTTGTCATTATACGATTATTGATTTCCTTGTTTGGCGCCTATTTTGAATTGATAATTAGGTCATTAGCGACATCTTGAATTAGCGAATCAATTCTCTCGCTAAATTCGCGAAAAAGACATGTTTTACAGTACTTTTCCTTTAAGATCGATTATATGCCAGGTCTTCACTGTGAGTTAAACAGTATGATATCTAGATTCTGAATCTTAGTTCACAGCCTTGTGCTTGAAAGGTAACGAAGTATTGTAGTAGGTATTAAATTGTGCTAAGATTTCGAGAACTTGTTCGAATCTTTCGCAAACTCGTTGTAAACATACTCCATATCGGTGAGCGGTGATGCTAAATAAACGTATAGTGCAATATATGAAAGATATATTACAATGAATTATTTAAGATATTTTGTGTCGAATTTCACGATTTATTTGAATTTTAGAAAATTAGAAAATGGTATTATTCAAATTTTGACGAAAATTGATAGATATTGAAGATATATTGACGTACGCCAATGACGCTGGTCTCTGGCGCAATATGCAAAGGTTGACGAAACTTGACAGCTGAATTACTCATAGTTTTAAAAAAATAACAAATTTAATAAAAGCCTGACCATATTAGGGAATTGTTATTGTTGATTGGCTATTTATATCACTCAAAATTTTACAAATGTATTATAATTAAGTTTATTCTGTCTAAACTCATATTATATTAGGGAATATTTAATATGATGTATTAATATGTAAGGCACTCACAGAAACTAACCAATAGATTCGATATATCTAATAAAAATACACCCGTACGTCAATAGTTCCAGTCTAATGAATATTCATGTTTAGAAGTCAAAATTGACGAAGCTTGATCAATAATGACGATATGTTGACATCAGGCTGTGAGTTTGACCAAATATTTCTGAAGTTGACGGCAGTCTCTACTTCTTACGCTGAAAATGTAGGATTTTCATCAAAGTTTGACAATGTATTATCTTTTCTCAAAAAATTGACAGCATATTCGATATAACACTTATTATACCATAATGAATAAACAGACCTTTGCTGACGGCGATGATTCTTAGATAATTACATTCATAATTGCATTTTATTTTGTGACACAAACATCCAAACAAACCTCGCAGTATTTCATCCAAACACATGATCTATAGATTATAAGATTTAAAAAAAAAAAAACTCTCATAGATTTCAAATTTCATACCAAAGTAAAATACTGGACTCAAATCGATGACTGAATCAAAAGTTAATAGAAATTAAATTAAAACAAAACTAAAGACAATATTTTTATATATAAATGCCAGTTTCTGTCATGTTCCAAATAGACAAAGTCTTACCAGCGTCGACAGAGGGCGGCATATTCAATGATCAAATTGAATTACTATACCAATCACCGTCCCTCAACGTCGTTTGGGACTCAATCCCCACGCATACACAGGTGACAACCTCGCCGCTTAAATAATCCCAAGACGTTTTTTCTTTTGGCAGAAATTTTAAACCGGAACTCTAAATGTCCTTTTAGGTAATATACAACACGTCAATCCTGAACAATCAAGTCATTCACTGACAAACTTCCGTACATACACTCTGGGAGGAGGATGGTATTAAAAATTAGTTTTTCACCCCATGATTTGTTGTCCTCAATGTCTTCTCCCAGTGTTTGTAATAACCAGCCTAAGGGGTTTTGAATGTGAAAAACGTACAACAGGACTTCTTATATTGGCGAGACATTAATTGGTCAATTATGGTGGCGAAGTGGTTTCATGCTCTTATACTACAAAAAACAAAATTTCCTCATCAGATTGTAAATGAAACTTGGTACTAGATGCTCTGGGGCAATGCACAGACTTTTGCCTTGTAGTTTACTTGAACTCCATGCATATGATCATGCTATTTTCATAATAATTACTAGTAGCCAATTCTCAGATTTCCAACTGATACTTCAAGAACCATCAAACAGATTTCAGTAAAATATTATATCCTTAGGTAATTTTCAGGTAGTTTTTAGTTTCATGATGAAATCTTATGTTATTGTTATGTCAGTGATGGCCTTTCAAATAAAACATGAAAGTGTTCTAGGTTCTTTAACGAGGCATCTATATGTGTGGTAATTCTTTTTCATACCAAATTTGGTTGAATTTTGTAGTAGGGTGGCTTAAACTTGTGCAAAGGCATTGCTTAGCTGGGAAAGTTTGTCATTTCTCAATGTTTTGTAAGAATCAGAAAGACAAGTTACATAATTTAGCAGTGAGGATTCATGACATCTTTGTAAGTGACTGTTAGATGCACATATCAAGATTGAAAGTACAGTATTACAGTACACCAATCAAACGAATACCTTACATTTTGAATAAGACACATCCACAGACGACAAAACCAGAACAAACGCAAATAAACAGAAATAGAAACCTTCCATGTGAACTCCATGGACATAAACCTTTGTTGTGAAATAATGCATTCATAATTTGCAACAACATTTTTTTATTATTTTAAAAACTGGACTTACAATTGAATTTACAATATTTTGTATTTTTTTGAAGACTGAAATGTCCGGCAATGACTTCACTCTAGTATTTACCATAAAGAATCATTAATCAATATACCATGCTCGGTGACTCATTAATGTGGAATTGAAAACCAGTTATGAAATCTTCTCATCAAGTCATGCCCTTCCGTGACATGACAGTGCTTCTGTGATATCAAAAAAAGCCATTCAGACGAACAACTCAATCTGATTGTAAATTTGTTCATTACTTAGAATATACCAGGGTAATCTCTAAAATCAAATATTTCAAGTTTTTTTGTGAAAGGTGGTGACAAATGTTGACTTTGTGTACAAAAAGTTAATTATATCGTGATTAAAATGAACACATCAACTTTTTAATAATTGGATCTCATAATTTTCTTATATCGGTATGTATATATCCCCACAGTATATCATATTTATTACATCAATTATTTACGTAGTAGCAAACAAATACAGTAGACCCTTAGCATATTGAACAATTTCGCTTCCTCCGAGCTTGGACTCTCCGTAGACACGATCCACAAATGTGATAGGAACCTGTCAGAAACAAAAACATATAGTGTTGATGAAACAATAATGCCATGTAAAAACAATCTTACATAATTAGATAAAATGCAATTAGCTTGTGATCTTCTCGCAACTATTAACATTTAAAGATGTTTATTATATATAATTTATTAACAATCAGTTAATTGGTCTCACCTCTCCTAGTGTGAATCCAAATTGGTTAGCTCGAACCAATATCTCCATTTGGAAAACGTATCCCTTGGAAACGCAGGAATCAATTATTTTTTGTAAAACATCTTTTTTGTACAATCTAAAAGATAAACACATTTCATGAATCATGAGGTTATGTGTGGATGAGTTGACCAATTTCTGTAGTGATGTAGGTGGGTTAATCAAACAGTCAGTTGAATACACATTTCCTATATGTCGTACTCTTTGTTGACTGGTCGGTAGCTCTGTGATGATAAAATGATGTAGATGGGTGAAAAACATAGTCGTTCAATGAAACATTAGGTTGTGTAGTCATTGGTAAGAATATTGCAAATCATTCAAAAACAGTTTTTTTTTATTGATGGACGACAACAGATCAAATAATATGGATACTCATAACAATTTGTCTGTCACCCAATCAAATCTTAGATGTTTCATTCTTGGAGGATTCAGACGTTTTCGTTGCTAGCAGATTTCACATGGCTAGAGGACTTACGTATACATACAAAAACATTGCAGTGTCAGCGATTGGAAATAAATTATCAAAATTGTTTTCACAGCACTGTGGCAGGAAAAAATCTGTTTTGTTTTCAGCGATGATTTGTATCCATTCATCAGGAAGCATTTATTTTTATTGAAACAAATTTGTCAGATGTGAAAACTCAAAGGAGAAGTGTAGATGAATTTCACTGATTCTGTTGAAATCATTTTTAGATTTCTGACCGTCAATATCGATTATCTGATCAGATTATTATTCTTTTTTTTAGAAAATACCACATTCACTAAACCAGATTGAAGATTTCATGCTTGATATGTATTCAAAAAATGAGAACCAAAGTGATGGTTTCTTATTTAAAAGCACAATCATTCAATTCTTCTTTATTTAGATTAGAGTATTTACTTTATGCGACGGGACACTGTGCTGTCAATGTCATCCCCAAACAAATGTTCTTAATTTACAAATTATAGAGGGCACTATTCAAACAAAACTAAGTACAACTGCAGAAAGAGAACTACTAGTACCTGAAACTACCTGTCAGATCTGAGGCTCCGGGTCTCAGCAGAAACTGAGCTAGGAAATTTGCACTACGACTGAAATACAAAAAAAAGAGTAGCTTTAGTAGTTTTCTCTCTAGTAAACTTTGTTAGTATATGAAAAGTCGAAAAGAGGAACTGATTAGTAAATGTACTTGTACAAAAATTATACAGGCTTCCACAAATTACAAGGAGTTTCATTTAAATTTGGCTACAATGATGACATCATCATTAACAAAGAAATCATAGAAAAATGCATAAAAATGTGAAAATTACTTCATTAAAGTTAAGGTGTACCTGATCAGCTTTCGTTTGAAGTCCCAACCGTACACTCCACCAGTACCAATATACCGAGTTCCAGATACAATGTCACACTTTAATTCTTTTTGTTTTCTAGTAGTTTATAATAAACAAAATACAAAAGACAAAATTTGTTAAGCCACTGCCCCTTAAAAATAAAATATTCAGAGCTTCAAAAATGATGTTAGAAGGTGGTAACATTAGACACATGGGTAGAGCCTGCTAAGAGTATGGGCCCCTACTGATTACACAATCCCCTTTTAAAATATGAAAGGTATGTTTGTTTGAAAGATGCAGTTGTGATTCATAAATATGAAACGTCACAAATAAAACATAAATTTGTCTGGTTTGGTTTACATTGGTTATTACAAGGATACCTCAAAGTATGCACGAAGACAGTACAGTGGAAGTATTGGTCAATGTGCAGCGGAGGTCGATGCGATGGCGTACTGTCTGAGTGCATATTTTGAGGTATCCTCATATTAACCTTATTATTATACATCTTTCCCTTCCAAGGATGCATCATGGGAAATCCAAAAGGTTTATCAGCGAACTTCTTTGTATGGAGTCCGGCAAACCCTGGTAGCAGCCATGTTTGTTTTTATTATTAAAGAACGCTTACGCACGTAATCATTCCATATTTGGAATTTGCAATTCCTTATATGGTAAGATGAAAATACCCCGCAAAATACTGCAAAATGACGGCATGCTGTAACGTATGGCGTTACGGTGACAGATGTATAATAATAAATGATATATCTTGTTACAACAACCAATAAATATAAAATTTTCATATCAGTGTTGTGACAGGCAATTTGTTTGAAATATACGTTTCTTATTAATTATAGAAGACTTACTTAATAAATTGTGGTATGAATTTCGGCTGCAATAAAGAAAAAAAAAACTAAGTTTCTTGATATTTTGAGTAAGGGTGAGGTGTTATACACTTCCAATCATCAGTTTTAGAATGATATTTTACTAAACCAGTTTCAGTTGATTTTTCAATTTTCAATGTCCAGATAATTTTTGAAAGTTTATAAAATCTCAGTAGTATATAAAATATTTACTTTTTATTCATACATATGCATGCAAATATGATGATATTCATAAATATATACATCCGAGGACACTAGCAAGGGTATCTATTAAAGCGGGGGAGTCATCACCAGCGCATCAGATGTTCAAAGCGTGTCATTGTTTACAAACAAGCATCTACCCATAAGCCTTTATGTTTTTAGCGTGTGCTGTTATCATTGCTTGGGACTCAATTCCCGCGTGTGCACAGGTGACGACTCTCCCGTTTTAAAAATGTGAGCCAATTGTGAGAAACTGTAGAAAACAGTTTCACGATTTACCTCCCGTTTCTATATAGGAATGGCATGCACGTAGTAGCATAGAAACTCAAAACTTGTGAACATTCAAATGATACTCACATGGTGGGAAAGATCAGCATCCATTATGATCACAAAATTACCAGTAGCATGTTTTATACCATGCACATATGCGGTACCTACCAGTCACAAATAAAAGTAATATTGCTTTAAACATATATTGTATTTTATAGTATTTGACTAAATGAACATATCAGCATTTCATCTTACATTACGTGTTTAAAATCTGTGAAATTAAAAAAAAAAATGAAGAAAATCATATGTGGGTTCAATCAAGTATTCACCAAGTAATCAATTTGTGTAAAGTGAAAAACATTCAAAGAGTTAATAATAAAATATATTACTACTAAACCCGTGTTTGTATGACTTTCAGACCACGAAGAAATGAATCAACGTTTCAGAAAGTCATTTCATCAGTCGCTATGAAGTAGGTTGTCAAAATATCCTTACCTAACCCTAACTTTGTAGCTCTTGGTCTCAAAACCTGTAGTCAAATGAAATTACAAAAAATATAAATATATCAGTCGGAAGAATATCAGTCGGAAGAGTCACATAATATATGTCCATCAACATTTTCACAGCTATTGTCATCTCTCACCTAAAATAGTACCATAAACAAAATTGAGGAAAATTAGGAAGAACACAGTCTAACTGTGGAAACGTTAATCTTTGATAATTTAATGGTTGCTTTTCATTCCAGTGTAGCATGTACAGTGGCAGTAATTTTAGTGCGATAGACCACTTACCCGGAAGTTGCAGATAGAGAGTTTCACATATGCACGCATATCAGATATTAGATTCAACGTAAACATGCATGCATGATATTGAACTTGTTGACGTAGCAATCAACACGATGAAACTAAGATTCCCTTTCACCGAATATCAGATAGTTAACTGACGTTTTTGTATTTGTTACCATGACAAAAGCAAGGGTGTTGCTAACTTACATCCATCGCTACATCTCAGTGGTCTATTGCCTTGTGCCATTTTGAAGGCATTGATGAAAGTGTGAACTGACAACCATAATAACACACCAACTAGCAAAATTACAAAGTGTAACAACCAGTTTACTTTTATAACTTACTATTTTGTCATTGCCATAAAGTTTCTGTAACTCTTTTGCAATTTCCAGAGTGCCATCAGGACTACCATCGTCGATTACTATGATTTCATAATTGTACCCACTGAGAAAGAAGAGAAATATTTATACATACAAATTATGCTAATGTAACTATATATTTTTTAGTAATTGTTTAGTTTTAGTTCAGTCATTTTAGCATTTTAGTGGACATGGTTTACAATTAATGAATAAATAACATTTAAGAACTCGAAATGGCAGTTGAAACTATTCGACAAATCACAGCAACTGTGATTCTACAGTCATTGGAATACAATTTCAAAATAACCTAAGATTTATATTTATGCATAAAGGGCCATAGAAAAAAGCACCCAATACAATAGGGAATCACAACCTCTTGTTTGAATTTACATTTATTAATATTTACAAAGATTTACAGTTAACAACATCCATAATCCTAATCTGAATATGTAATAATTTTAATGATGTAAATATGTAGCTTTTTTGAGGATGATGTAATTCTTGGTACAATTGTCTTGTGCTTCTAAATTCTAAACTTTTTGAAACTAAAATCTGTACTTCATTTTATAGCTGTGAATGCTTCATTTTAAGATATTATGGAATAACTATTATATTCTATAGGACAATCTACGGCTCTTATTTCATCATCCCTGACCTATGTAGGACTTCTGAGATTAATAATATCTCCAGGACTTCATGGACTAATAGTACGGTATCCTATATTATTAATTGTATAGACCTTGACTGTGTGTTGGTGTACATTCCTAGTGGCTATTGTAGTATATTTCTAAGCCATTTAGGCGAGGTAGCCATACTTTAATATCAATGATCCCCACAGTACTCACCACAAGCTCAAAATCAAACCTATTAGGGGGTCAACCATGGAAATCGTGGTGGGTGACTGAAACATTTGTTGAAAATAAAAAATGTAAGCTAGACACTAAGAGAAAACTAAATTATATGCATGGTGTTGGGTCAATAAAAAAAAAATAAAAAAACAAGACACCGTGAAAATAAAAAAAAATGGTATGATCACGCTCACAAGCAACCCCCCGGATTTCAAGTGGTTGACCTGCTGCGTACTTGTTGTCTATTTCATTCTGGGGTCCAAGTACAACTGGTAATCTCAACATTCAAATTTAATTAAGAAACCAATACCATTAGAGATATGTGACAATATACTCTTGCTGCACCAAATATGTTGTGTATGTTATATCCACGGAGCGAAACTGGCGTGTCAACAGATACAGCAGTCGACACACCAGCTGATCAAGGTCAAGCCATTCGACGTGGCATTTCGACTTAAACGAGTCAGCGAATTATTTTATACCCAATCGGGTTCTGTTTTATATATTCCCACATACACGCATACCTTTGAGTAAAAGACTTCACTAGCAGCCACACAATAAGTGGTAGGTTCTCTCTTTCATTGTAGGTTGGAAGTAAAACTGAATACTTGTCCGTCTTGCGAGAAGCCATTTTGTCAACTAAACATACAATGATATATATCGTTGGTGGCGCTCTACAAGGTTGCTGATACATTATCTTTCACACATCTCGCCATTCCACCCGAGTTATTTTTTTTACGAGAAATGTTTAAACATGGGTTACTCTCTTATGTAAAACTGACTTTTGCTTCACCAAGTTTAGATCTCATACTCTGATTAAACTATGGACTACAATATAATAACTTGAAAAGCAGGGCTATATTATAGAGTAAACTGAGAGTAGCACACCAAAATTCAAAATTAAATATAAATTTTAAAAATCAAGTAGAAAACAGTATCATCAAAATGAAGCCGATTCAACTACACTGATACTAGCCTAACATATAGGCGTGAGTACACCTTTGCCGGCCGGATGGCATCAGACCTCATTGTGTTGGGTTTGGAGCACCGCGAAGGGCGCAACGCACGCGACCTTGTCAGGCTACACTGATACCTGCAATATTGGAAAAGTTGATCCCATTTCAACTGTTTACTAGTAGTTTCGTTAAAATTCAAAGGCTACGTTATTCTAGTATATCATTTAATAAAACAGATAAGTACTATTGACAAAAAAAATCAATTCCTTTCATGGTATTATAAATATTTATATAGTTTTTAAAGGCAGCTGAATCCAACCAGCCAACCAAAGAGCGCAGTTAGCATTGACGTCATGTGAAAATGTTCCATGTTATTCCATCGGCTAATAAAAACCTCCTCTCTCGTTTATCAATTTAAGATGATCGTCGCGCCGGGTCATGTTCGATGTCAGACTCATAGCGACATGTAAAATACTACCGCCCTTTATTGTGAAATTTATCATTATTTATAAAATAATCTCGTCTTAACACAAAACATTATTAAGACGACTTAATCTAAGTTTGAAACTAGCAATATTCTTGATACAATTGCATAACTAGTATGTCAGTTCTGAAACGGAGTCACCCACTTTAAAATATTTGTTTTTTTAAGTTCACTTTTTATGATTTTAAAATGAAACAGCTGGCAATATACTGAGGTACAAAAACAGCGTCTCTCTCCTATATGTTAATATTGCTGCCACTTTTTGTCAATTGTATGTAATTACATAGAAACAGACATGTTTGGAGAGATTTGAACTGCTATGATGAAATTGTTTTCGCGTATCTGTTAATCGACTTAATTAACTGATTATTAGCGAATGGCTGTGTTATGTCTGTCATCGTTTAGGCAGGCGAGGTCCTGGACGGAACTCGACTCAGTGATTTGGAACTAATTACGAGATAACCGTCGCTATTCGGACTACTATTTCTGACAGTTAGTATTCGTAGTTATTAATGTAGTGAACGATTAATCAAACGATATGACGTGTTCAGTACTTAGCGTGATTGGCTTTATGATTGAAGGTTACGCCTTAGAGTCTTTTTACTGCTTTGTAATTGGTTAGAGTTTTGAAAATGAATAAAGAGAGTTTGAGTTGGTCTTGGCGAGTACTCCACGACAGAGACAGTCCAGTCCTAGAGAGTCTTGGGGCGAGTCTAAGGCAGTCTTGGACTGAGTCTTGGGTCAGCCTTGCGATAGTCTTGGGGACTTTTCCCCAGGGCGCTGTGTCTTATAGAGTGCTCAAAAGACCGACTAAGACGAGAGTTGAAACGTATTTCGTTGTGTGTGTCTATTTGACCGTAAGGCTTAAGTGACTTT